TACAATCTTCATAGACTCATCCTACAGAGAGTTTAGCAGTGCCGAGCTAAGAAATAATGGCAGTGTGTCTGGGAGTTACTGGAAACTATTACCTTTTGCTCATCCACCGGACCAGCTTGTGGGTCAGCACAGAGATGGAGCGTTCCTTCCTTTAAGTCTTTGGGAACCAGGACAGAGCTACCAGTATGTCAGTATGCTTACCAGTGAGCCTGCTTATTTTAATTTAAAAAAAAAAAAAAACACTAGAGGCCTCCCCTGTTGGCACAGACAGCTCTGAAGCTGTCCGCAGCCTCGGCAGCGTGGGTTCGATCCTGGCCGGCTGGCGAGGGTCCCACATGGCAAGCAGACCTCTCCTGCCTTGCCCTCTGCTCCACTCAGCAGTGTGTTTCGTCAGTCTGCCTGTACTGTTCCCCACTCTGTCTCTGATGGATCCTCTTACCCTCCCACACATCTGGCCTGTACCCCGGTTCTTGTATAAATAAATAAATATTTAAAAAAAACTATAAAAAATAAAATCTGAACATACATACTGTGTGCCAGGCTAGTCCAGTCTGGGGGATACAAAGTCCCCTAAGTCACATGATGTTTTCTCCCAGAAGGGAGAGAGAGTCACACGTACAACTCACCACAGTAACAGTCTGCCTGTGAGGTTTGCTCTAAAGAGATAGAAGGAAGGAAGAAGGGAGGCTAGGAGATTGGGGAGGGAGATGGGAAAGCTAGCCAGAAGGGGTGACCTTTCAACCTGGTCTGGAAGAAAGATTTTGCAGACTCAGGCAGGTAAGAAGCAGGGGACACTGAGCCCTGAAATCCCACATCGCACTTTCCAGAACAGGGAGTTCACTGTGTGTGGAGCGAGACCAGGGGGCAGGGAGTGGAGTGGTAAGAGATGATGGAAAGCAAGGTTTGCGGGAGAAAGGTTAGCATCAGGCTGGGGAAGGCTGAGGAGATGACTTTGTGTTTGCTCTGCAAATAAAGATGCGTTCCTCACATAGAGAAGATATTTCCACAGATTATCCTCGTTGAAGGCTCTCTGAGGTGTTTGTGCCTCATTGAGCAGGGGGTAATGGGGCGGGGAGGGGGCACAGGATAGAAAGTGGATGGAATTTGGAAGATCCAAGAATCCTGGTTCCTCTTAGTGCCTGTGTCCTTGGACACTTGCCCTTTGAGGAACCACTTAGCTCCCTTCTGATTCAGTTTTCTGATCTGGAAAATTGAGGTGGCGATGATGGTGCTCACCCTTGTTGCAAAAGGATTCTTGTGTTCCTCCATTCATAGCCTGTTTGAATGTTACTTTTTCGAGGTCTTACTTGAAATATTACTGCCTGTTAGACTTTTCTGGACCCTTCCAGATCACAGATGAAAAATAGACTCATATGTATGAAAAGCTAAAGGAAGCAGCATATAAATGTGCTGTTGGGCTAAAAGCTATGGGGCCACAAGGAGCTCAAGCTTGGGGGCATATGGGTTTGAGGTACAAACATGCCTGTTTCTTCTCAAAGTTTTAAATTGAGGATGAAAATATCTGTTCTCCCTTCTCAGAATGGCCACAAAGTTTAAATGAACAAAATAAGTGGAGGTGCTTGGAAATCAGAATGTGTTCCACAAATGTAAAATTTGTGAAACATGTAAAATGCATGTTTTAGGAAAAGAGCTCTAATAGCTGTGGGATTGCTGAAATAAGGGAAGAGGGACAGGTGATGGAGAGACCAGGTAGGTGCTATTGCCATGGTCCAGGCAGGAAAGGAGGCGGTCCCAGATCAGGGCAGCAAGGACAAAGAGGGAGGGTAGATCCAAATGCCTTTTGGAGCGAGAACCAACAGATATGCGGTTCTGTTGTATATGAGGGGTGGAAAGATGATATGAGGGGTGGAAAGATGATAAAAAGCCACTGGTAAGATCTTTGGTAGATAATGATGCCACAAACCACGCTGGCCTCTTGTTAATTCCTAATTGCTGAAATCTAGAAAACAATGTTGATTTGAGGAAAGCAGGTACCCTGGGGGTTGGATTCTGTTATCCTGACTTGAACTGACCCTGGTCTCTCTTCATTATCTCGCTCTCCATTTCCCCCCCACTATGATCCTAGAACTGGCTACTCCTGAAGACAAACCCAGGATACTGTCTCTTTCATTGCGTCTCTCTCATTCTCATGCCCTCTTCCTGGCTCTGATCACTGTAAGGTGTCCTGAAAACCCATCTTTGTCTTGGCAGGAGGACCACGCTGGTTTTTGTTTGCATCATGGTAGACTGGCACCTTTCCTTTCTATGTGTGGGGGCTGGAGTGTCTCTTCAGCCCCTGACTCATTCCTGTCTTCTTGGATATGAGGGAGTAGCTGGCAGGACTCCCCCATCTTTTAGCTGCTACCCTTTATTTGCAAAAACCACCTTGAAAAAGTAGGACAGCTTCCAGAGCAGTAGGGGACTATTTTGGAAGGGGAATTCTAGTTGGAAGGGTGCTTGGTGATGCAAAAGGTGTATAGGTGGTTTTCTGGAGGGGCCCATTTGCAAGCAAATCTTTCTTTCTTTTAGTATTTAATTTTTAAAAAATTTTTAATGAAGTACCTCTGGTTTACATCCTTGTTTATGTTTTGATAGTATAGGATTTCTCTCCTCAGGTGTGGTCACTGTAGCTCTCCCACCACCTAAGTACCCATAGTCCTCTGTACATCCTTTGCTGCACCCATTCTCCCCTCTCCCCCCCAAGCCTCAGGTCTATGGTCAGCTTTCAAGGGTTGATTTGATTTGATTTTGATTTTTTTAATTATTATTTTTTAAATTTTATGTATTTTGACATCATTTTTCATTTTTGCACACTGTATGCATTTTCATCTTGGTTATGGTCCCCATACAATTCCCACCCCCCCACCCTTGTTTTGATCCTACTCCCTCCTCGCCCCCACCCCGTAGTGTGTTTCTGGTTTATAATTGCTTGTTGATTTTGATTTTTACTTTATTAAATACCAGATGGTCTCACTCATAGCAGGAATTTAGAAAAAAGTTGGTCTTTGCCCCTTGGTTTAGTTTCTCTCTATTCCAGGTATGTGACACTGCTTGATATTTCTCTCTCTCTCCTTCTGGCTTATTTCGCTTAGCATAATCCCTTGCAGCTCAATCTGTGGTGCCACAAATGGCATGAGTTTTATCTTTTTTTATCACTGATTCATATTCCATTGTGTATATACACCAAAATGATTATTTCTTTTTTTGCTTCCCCACTGAACTTGATCCTCTCCTTCTCTCTCAAGGAGCCCTCATTCCTCTTCTCTCCCTTTTCTTTGGGAGACCTTTAGTCTTTTTATTATCTTGTGCTACTGAGTGGCCTGTCGGTGGACTCTGTCCCCATCTTGAGCCCCTTGACATCCCTACTGTCTGCTACCCTCCTTCCCATCCTTTCTCTCATTGTCTATACATGTGCCTTTCTCATATCCCTTCCTGCATCACCTCTACCTGCCACGTTCAAATAGCATGTCAGTCCTTCAAGGTGTCAGTGTCACTCCCTACGCCAGAGCATGCAGGACACCAGGGGAAGCCAGCACTGTGATTAGAGTTCAGCAAGCTACTTCTGTCTCCTAAGCCTTGGTGTCCCCATCTGTTAAATAGGAATGTTAATAGAACTTATTTTATAGGGTGGTTGTGAGAATTAAGTGAGTTAATGGTTCTGAAAAACGTCATACAGAGCTGGCACATAATACTTGCTCAATATGCATTAATCACTGTTATTAAAAGCCAGAGGGGCGACTGTGCCCCTTAGAGGCATAAGGGCATCCCCTGTGGCTGGGAAATGGAACACAACATTTTGAAACCTACTTTGTCACATGATTAAGAAAGTTCCTTCAAAATTGAGCAGGCAGAGGGTGTTCATACTGACTGGAATAAAACTGCTCAAGAGGGTTTCCTGCCTGGGGCTGCATGAAGCGCACTTCTGTGCAGCCGTTTAAAGAGATCAGTCGCACTGATCACAAAAATCTGCAAAGAGCTGATGAGACTCAACAACAACAAAGAAAATAATCCAGTCAAAAAATGGGCAGAAGAGCTTAAAAGAAACTTCTCTGAAGAGGAAATGCAAATGGCCAACAGGCATATGAAAAAATGTTCAACATCACTTGTCATCAGGGAAATGCAAATCAAAACTACCATGAGATACCATCTTACACCAGTGAGAATGGCACATATTAAAAAAACTAGCAACAACAAATGTTGGCGAGGGTGTGGAGAAAAAGGAACTCTTCTGCACTGTTGGTGGGAGTGCAAACTGGTCCAACCACTGTGGAGAGCTGTGTGGAGATTTCTGGACCTACTAAACATAGAGCTTCCATATGATCCAGCAATTCCACTCCTAGGTATTTACCCAAAGGACACAGAAACATCAATTCCAAAGAACACCTGCACCCCTATGTTTATAGCAGCACTGTTTACAATAGCTAAGCTTTGGAAACAACCCAAATGCCCAAAAATAGATGACTGGATCAAGAAGATGTGGTACATATATACCATGGAATATTACTCAGCATTCAAAAAAGATAAACACATGCAATTTGCAGCAACATGGATGGCGCTGGAAGGGATCATGCTCAGCGAAATAAGCCAAAAAGAAAAAGAAAAATACCGGATGGTCTCACTCATAGCAGGAATCTAGAAAACTTAAATAAGGGACCAGGAAAATGAATAACTATAAGAAAGTGAAAATCAAAATCAACAAAAAACTATGAACCAGAGACACTTTTAGGGGGGCGGGGGTGGGAGGGGAGGGATTGGGGTCAGAATGGGGGGGCTGCAATTGTATGGGGAATATAACAATAAAATTTATTAAAAAAAAAAAAAATAAAGAGATCAGTCGCAGCTTGGGACAAAGGAACAGGGACACAGGGCATCCAGCAGTGCCTGCGAAGCCCTCCGCTTTCGCTTTTACTTGCTTTACCCTCTTTCTCAGCCCTGGCACTACCGAATCTATCCATCATATCCATCCAAACTTAAAAGAATCTTATCCATCTTGTCCACAGGGAATTTGCCAAAGAGAGGGAGAGAGTGGAGAACCGAAGAGCGTTCATGAAACTTCGGCGCCAGCAGCAGATCGAGCGTGAGCTGAATGGCTACCGAGCCTGGATAGACAAAGCAGGTGAACCTGGCAGGGGCAAGGGCAGGGCGGCCACATAGTCCTTCTTATTCCCAATAGTTCTATTCAAAGGGGCAGCTAAAACCAGAGCAGAGAGAAGCTCTGGATGCCTTGGTAGCTTTGGGGTTCCCTGCTGGCTCCTCTTTCTTCCTCTAGGCTTTTACTGAACCTGTCCTTGTACCAAACATCTGTCATGATGCAGGCATTTTTAGAAGGTAGACTGAGTAAAAGGTGAGGTAACCCAGTGCTAGAGCTGAGGTTGGCCTGTGACATGACAGACCACGACAGTGCGACTGTCTATAGGCTTCATAACACCTACATCTGTTACAGGGGAACCCCAATGTGAAATGGGTTGGCCTGAATGTGGGTCCTCACTGGCGCACTTAGAAGGGGCTTATAATGAGACTCAGTTGCAGGCACACACAAATAGGTTAATAAAGGGTTTATTTACAAAAAAGGGGAAATGAAGAAATGAAGAGATGAATAACTCAGGGAGAAAGAGAGAGAGAGAAATTGGTGAATGTGTCTTACCAGTTCTGCCAAGCTGGTACCCCAAAAGCACACTGAAAGCTGGCAAAAAAATCAAGGACCCCCATAGCCCACATGTCTGGTTATATACCAAGCCTGGCTGCTTAACTCCACCTTCAGTTCCCAGCAGTCCTCCCTTCGGTGGTGATGACATTATGGGATTTGTAGTCCTTGGTGTCCTGGATCTCTTTGGTCTAGGGTGGGTGTGGGGTCCATAAATCCTATTTGTGGAATTTGTTCAGGACCTCCTTTCCCCCCAACATCCCCCCTTTCACTTTTTGTCACCATTTCTATGGTGATGAAGGTCAAATGTGTGGATGTTGGGTGCGGCAGGGAACCTGGAACCCCCCCTTTTCCTGGGGACCACTTTACATTCAGTGCACAGATATTTATTAAATGGACTTAATTTGTGTAGGGGCCTGTTTTAGATACTCGGGGATACTGCAGTGAGACAAACAGATCAGTAAGTCACCAAAATTCTCTTAAGAACTCATTGTTACTAGTTGGGGAAGGTAGCAATAAGCCAAGAAGTACAAGAGTGTTGTTGGTATAATGGAAACCATCGAAGTAGGATTATTAAGTACAGGGTAAGTTGCAAATTCGATGGGGAAGTTAGGGTACACTGATGTGGGGGTACCCTCACATCAAAGAGTCAGCCATGGAAAGATCTATGGGAATAATTTTCCAAGGCTAAGAATATTCTAGTGTGAGATTGGGGCAGTAGATAGGGTGGGGGCAGTAGAAGGGATGAGGGCATTCTATGGGGTGACAGGTGGCAGATCCTTCATGACCCTCCCGGCTATCATGAGGGTTGGGGCTGAACTGTGAGGGAGGCAAGATCTAGTGGAGGATTTTGAGCAGAGGAGTGACATGTTCTGATTTAGGGTTTTGAAGGAGTTCTTGGTCGCAACACTGAGAATCAACAGCAGGAAGACCAGGCCAGCATCAGGAGGGCCGGTTGTGAGGCTGTGGCTATAGGCAGGTAGTAGTTGGTGGACAACTGGCTTCCCCTGTCTCTGAGCTGCCCTCATGCCCCCCGCTGTGGCTCAGCATCAGGAATAGTTCTTGCACATCCCTGGGGATAGGTCCAGACCGCTCATGATTTCATTGACCCAGAGCCAGGGAATTCAAGTTTGCCTGCAGCTCAGCTGCGCATGAGCCACATTGATCACCTCATTCCTGTCAGTAAAAAGGATACATTTGCTTTCCTTATTATTTGAAAGCTGGGGTGTTATAGATCTTCATTTTATTCCTGAAGAGAGAGTTATATTTTTTAATAATAATAAAAAAAATACAAGATAGTCAGCATCTTTTCTGTATTTCTGGTAGCATATCTGTGAGGTCTCTCTAGAAAAAGCTGGGAAGTAATTTGATGCTTAGCCACCTGGGCCTTACTCTTCTGTAGGAGCTCTGTAATGAGTCTGTGAGCCTCTTATTTGTACCACTGACACACAAAAACTGTCAGCTCTGGAGTCTACTCTTGATCATCTATAAGGGTGTGGGTGAGCCTGTGACTATGCCATTTCAGAGTCAGATGAAAAACCACTACCAGGCCTCCCTGGTGGTGCAAGGGGTTAAGTGTCAGCGCTATGAAGCTATCTGCAGCCTCTGCAGCATGAGTTTGATCCCCCTTGGCCAGGGAGCTACCCACACAGCGCAGCAGACCTTTCCTTTGTCACCCGCTGCTCCCCTCAGCAGCGTATTTTAGTCAGTTTGCCTGTTCTGTTCCCCACTCTGTCTCTGGTGAATCCTCTCACCCTCCTGCACCTCTGACCTGTGCTCTAGTTCTTGTACACATAAATAAATAAATCTTAAAAAAAAAAAAAGAAAGAAAAACCGCTCCCCCTTTGGGACTGTCTGCATTTCTTTGCCACCCCTAGAGCAAGAGCCAAGTGCTTGTTGGCTGTACTTGTGTTTTGCCCTTTCTCCTCCAAGGCTCTCCTGTGGGAGTCATGTGCATCCCTCTTCCCAGAATGGTAACCCAGCCTTCCTGCCTGCAGGCCAGGCAGGCAGCTTGAAGTTCCAACTGTCCTTGGCTTTCTCGGGGGAGGTGCCATGTCACAGACCCCTGAGTGAGCCTATTAGTAGTAGAACCTGAAAAGAACCCCCTGCCCTCAATATGCCCCCTCCCATGTCTCAGATGCAGCTCTCCTGGCTCTGCTTTTCAAGCAGGATTCCCAGGCGCCTCTTTCTTCCAGTTGGCAAAGCCAGCGCTCTGCTCTCCTTCTAAGAAAAAAGACGCACTGCTACGTCAAATTGTGCTTCCTGGCCCTTTCCTTTACAAATGGAGCATGAGTGAATCAGAGACATATGGGTTACATTTCCCTGGAAAGACACACTCCAGTTCGAAAGCGAATTTGGCATGAGGCATTGGGGGAGGGGGGTTCCTTCCTTGCTTCCAGAGCCCTCCAGCAATTCCCAGAGAGACTCAGCAGTACCACACCCACTCCATCTGCCTTGGGGGGCGGGGTGTGTGTCCTCAGATCTGCCTGTCCTAGACCCCAGGCACTGCAGATCTCAAAAGCAACTCTCTGGCTGAAGAAGTTCATATTGCTAGGAGGTAGTGTCACAAATACCTAAGAGATGCCCTCCGAACAACCTGGGCTATCAAATAACTTTGAAACATTTTATGTCTGCATAAAGGGACATCCTACACACAATCTATTCACTCTTAGTTTCGCCAGAAGCTACACTTAAAAAGGAAAGCTAAACATTTATGATTTGGGATAAGGGCCATTCTGTGTAGTACCTCCTGAGCCTCAGTGTTCCCTCCCTAACAAATACAGGACATACTCTCAGTTTTATATGCAGGTGGAATTATGGTAATGACTTTACCCCTCCTCAAGTTGTCCTTTTATTTGTGACAAGTGCTTAAATGAAACCATTGTCTAATTAGGTCTGCTGCCAGCTTTTCCCCAGCAGCTGGGATTGTAGAGAAAGATTGCTCAGGTCCCCAACTCAATGGCCTGTAGGCAGAGGTGACAGTGAGGGTTAGACTTTGCTCCACATCACTCCCAATGGGGAACTCAGAATCCAGATGAAGCATGCTAGTGAGGCTTATTCTAGTAAGTCTTAGTAGAAAACGATGTTAATAGAGATGGTAACACTTCTGTGGAGCACAGGACGATTCCTGGGGAGACAAAGAGAGGCATCAGAGGGAATATGTGTTTCTTTTCCAAATACTGACAACCAAATATGTCATTCCAACACCAATTGGGTATCCAACAATCTCAATTCAATTCTGACACTAAATACCACCTGAAGTTAGCACAGACCCAAGATGTTGAAGGCTCGAACTACAGGCCTGTCCCTATTTCAGACACCAGCTTCAAGTGGGCCCCCAGATGAGCTGTACTTTTGCTAGACTAACTGCAAATTGAGGGTGGGGGTGGGGTGAAAGGTGGGGTCCAGATTTGATATTTGGCTCAAATGACTTATGGAACTTGGGAGAAATTGTATTTACTAGTACCAATTTATTATAAAGGCTACAACTCAGGAACAGCCAAATGTAAGAGAAATGTAAGCAAGATGTGAATGTGGAAGAAAGGGGCCGCAAGCACAGAGTTTCCATGCCCTCACTCACATGCCACCACCCAACACCGGGCTGTACTTACCAACACACAAGCTCCCTGATCCCTGAAGTTTGGGGGTTTTCATAGAGCTGCCATAAGATGGGATTGATTAAATTATTCCCAGGGGTGCCTGAGCAATTTCTAGTACCTCTCCCTTCCCAGGAGGTGGGAGCAGGGTGAGGCTGGAAGTTAGAACCCTCCAATCCTGTGAACCCCCTTCCTTAAGGTATTGAGATGCTCCCCCCATGAGTCATCCTACTGGCATACAAAATTTCAAGGGTTTTAGGAGCTCTGTGCCAGAAAGGTACACAAAAGCCACATTTTTGTTTTTTGTTTTGTTTTGTTTTGTTTTTTGTGGGACCCTCGCTGGCGGCTGGGCAATGAACCGGTGCTGCAGAGGCTGTGGGCAGCCTTGCAACCCAGCATTCAACCTCTGTGCCACCAGGGGAGGTCCAAAAGCCACATATTTTTTCTTTTATCATGGGAACAAATTCATGATGTCCCAATCCTTTTCAGCTGACGTGCTGCTCAAGCCAGGAGGGTGGAGTGGTAAGGCCTGGAGGAACAAGCTCGCCAGCTGCTGAAGCTCTTTGAGGGCAGTTTGCATTTTCTTCCACCCAGTCCTGTAGATCCCCCAAAGTGTCTTTCCTCCTAAGAGAGGGTTAAGTGTTTTGAGCTGGGGGCTGTAGCTCAGAGAAATTCCATGACTGGAGGAGGTTTAAGGAACCTAGGTAGAAGGAAAACCAGATAAGGAAATTGTTCATTCCTCCCCATTTAGATGATTGTAGTTAAAAAAAAAAAAAATCAGGTTTCCTCCTGCAAAATAGGGTGCATTCAGACACAGAGATGAATTATACCAACCATCCCTTTGGCCCCCTCAATCAACTTCTTCCTTCCTGTTCTGCAGAGCTCTGGAGTGTCCACCCTGACCCCTGGCTGCTTTCTGCTGTTGGTGCCACCACAGGCGGTGAACTCCGTCCTCTCGCTCTGTTGCCCTGGAGCCAGAACTGTCCCTGGGAGGGTTTCATTTTGCAGAATGATTTGCCATTACAGATAGTTTACTAAACCATTTGTTTCCATCTAGAGGAAGTCATGCTCGCTGAAGAAAATAAAAATGCTGGAACATCAGCCTTAGAAGGTAAGCTTCTCCCTCTCCCCCACCCTAATAGGCAGTGGCAACCTCTCTGGATTGAGAGAGGAGACAGAAAGAAAAAAGGGGCACCTTGGGATTTGAAACTTAAGTGTCTCTGTCATAAAATCCCTCATGCTTTAAAATGAAGGGGATGGAGTCACAAATTTAAATGCTTTTAAAGTGATGAAAATGAAATCCTTGGGCTGCTGTATTCCAGGGCAAGTGATTGATATTGTGCATTGGCTGTGATGCAGCCAATGGCATATTAAGGGATCTTCTTTGAATATCCCTTGGGACCACTTCTCTACCAGGAAGTGGCGTTGTTTACGAAGAGCCAGGACAACTACATACAGAGTGCCTGTTTACCTACTGCATTTGGATGAGCTCCAGGATTCAGGAGCCCTTGCATTTCAGCAGGTGCTACTAACCACAGTCATGTTCTGTAGACGCTGGCAATTTCTAGAACCCTGGCTCAGGCACTTACGTAAAGGCAGGGAACTCTTACCCACAGTCATCAATTTTGACCCAAATGACCTGGCTGTTGTTGTCTTCTCTCACTGGCTCTTCCTGCCCCCTTGTAGTGCTTCGCAGGGCCACCATCAAAAGAAGCCGGACAGAGGCCATGACACGTGACTCCAGCGATGAACACTGTGTCGATATCTCCTCTGTGGGTGAGTGGGGCCGAGCTCTTCTCTGAATCTCCCAGAAAAAAAGGCTTTTGAACAGTGCCATAAGAAGAAGAGTCTGAAGAATCTAGAAGTTGGAGATGTAATTAGGGGAAAGTGCACCAATTTAATCCACATGACAATGACCTAGAGTAAAAAATGGGCCAGTAGAAGCTGATTAGAGGAAAGATGGGCCAAAGTCCATCCCAGTGTCTTCAGGTCTGACAAATATACCCATTTGTCTATGCCCTCTGTCTGTCCTGGATGGGATAATGAGAAATTGTTCAAGGGTCCTGAGAACCTATTGCCTCTGGTGATCTCCATGCAAGACCCTCAAGTCATTGGCTTGACTATGGTGGCGCTCACCAACTTCTAGTGTCTGATACTTCAGCTCCTGCTGACATCCCTTTGCCATCACTGGTGCTCAGTCCCAGCTTCTTTTAGAAATTCTGACTGATGGCAGGTTTTTCCTCTCCAGAAAGAGGGACGTTGCTCTTCATCCCTAAAAGCAAGAGACTTATAGAGCCATTGCTGCTTTAGGCTGCCCATGGTGGAATTTATTACAAACGTGGCAGAATGATTCCAGGGTTTAAAGCACATTTGATAGGAAAGCCCAGAGAGGATCCCAATCTGTTACAAACATAAACATGATCTTATTAGGCTTCTCTGCACTGGGTGTCTGCCTGGGAAATTTTTCTATTTCCTCGGACTGAGAGTGCCCAGTGATGAAAAACAGGGACCTATGCTTTGGTATCTACTTAGCCCAGGACATGGGGATCCCTGTGCCTGCATGATGACAGTCACCCAACTCTAGCATTGAAGCTGCCCACCTGGTCTTTTGAATGCCCCCTGGCCATGAAGGGGTATCTATTATTCTTCCTCCTTACTTCTCCCCCCTTAGGCACACCTCTTGCCCGAGCCAGCATCAAAAGTGCAAAGGTGGATGGGGCTTCCTATTTCCGGCACAAGGAAAGGCTTCTGCGCATCTCCATCCGCCACATGGTTAAATCCCAGGTGTTCTACTGGATCGTGCTGAGCCTTGTGGCTCTCAACACCGCCTGTGTTGCCATTGTCCATCACAATCAGCCCCAGTGGCTCACCCACCTCCTCTGTAAGTGAGCGGTGACTGCCAGACCTCATGGGGGCAGCATGATTGGGATGCCAGTGCACGAGAGCAAAACATGACGCTGGGCCTGCCCATAGCTGGGCCAGCCCAGAGCACACCACCTCTGCCCATTGGGAAGGAAGCCAAGGTTGTCCTCAGGGTTTCTGATGATCACATGGCATTACCAATTTTTCAATCATTATTAAATCAGTTGTACAAATTTCTGCTGATGAGTCAAGAAGATAGTAGTACACTTTGTGTCTTAAGACGATTCAGTGGTTGGAGAGTCTGGATCACCAAAGCCCTGGAGAAAGTTCTTAGGGTGATGAACTTGGAGGTCAGCTCTGGGTGAGCTTGCCACTGGGTGTGAGTGAGCCTCCAGGTGCTATGGTTTCCAGGCTTGCTAGGTGTAGGGGAATTCTGAGCTGTCAGCAAGCCATGGGAAAGCCTTTCTTCCTCTCCTGAGAGCTGCCACCTGTTTTAATGGCAGTGACTTGCCACTTGTGTCTTTTTTTTTTTTTAAAGATTTTATTTATTTATACAAGCACTGGGCACAGTCAGAAGCGTGGGAGGGTGAGGGAATTCACCAGAGCTAGAGTGGGGAACAGAACAGGCAGACGATGAAATACACTGCTGAGGGGAGCAGCGGGCGCGGCAGAAGACGTCTGTCATACCATGTGGGACCCTCACCAGCAACCGGGGATCGAACCAGCACTGCAGAGGCTACGGGCAGCTCAGCTTCGCGGCCCAGTGCTCAACCACTGAGCCACGAGGGGAGGCCCTCACCTCTTGTGTCTTGTGACATGGGTCTGGAACTCCTCTGAGTGGAAGCACATTCAGACACGTTAGATTTCGCCTGGTGCTGGCCTAGTGATGGTGCCTATGTGTGGGTGTCCTACTCCAGCGTGAGGGCTCCTCTGCAGATGACATGTTGGGTTGGGGAGTGCAGGAGTCCCCACTGTGTAACAAATGCTTTTGTTTTTACTGCTTTCAGACTATGCAGAATTTTTGTTTCTGGGACTCTTCCTCTTGGAGATGTCCCTGAAGATGTATGGCATGGGGCCTCGCCTTTATTTTCACTCTTCATTCAACTGCTTTGATTTTGGGGTAAGTGCTCAGAGCCTCCTGTCTTTCTGCTCTGTGTTGATATGCCACAGTTTGAGATAAGCAGCTTGCTCCATTGCTGAGCATGCAGCTCTGAAATCAGCACTTATTAACAGAGGATAGATAAGGTTGCCAAAGAGTTCAGGAATGAATCCATACAAGGGTTTTTTTTTTTTTTTCCAAAGCTCCTTTCTTTTAAATCTTTTTGTTGAAGTATGACACATATACCATAGAGTGCATACTTAAGTGTATAACTCAATGAATTTCACAAAACTGTCAGGGCCAGGATTTGAACCACTTACTATCTTGGGGGAAGCCTGGGTGAGAAGGGTAAATAACTCAATTCCAGAGGTTGTTCAATAGAAAGAGAAGCTAATGTATCTTTTTACTGCAGTGAAAAATTAGTTAAAATTGCCTAGCCATATCCTCAAACAAGCACATGTGGACACACACGGACACCAAAGCTTTTATATTAACAAGTTCTGAAATAGAATTTCTCCTCCAGCATCCATGTTCTTCTACGCAATAACAACATGTAAATATATGTACATTGCTAAGATTTCAAGGTGCTGTCACATCCATTTTTGACCTTTGCTGCTGCAAGAGTCATGTCCACTTCATCATATACCAGGGGTTAGCCTCCCACTTATGCAGGAGTAAACAGCATACCACATGCAAGTCACACAGTCTACCAGCAGCAGAACTAGATCGCAAAACTTTGGGTTCCTGAACCACTTCTTTTTTTTGCCAAACCCACCTCATTTTCTGCCAAATTTGCAGTTAGGTGCTAACAGTTTTGAGTACTCGCCAGTCTCCATTTTAACTCGGAACATATGGTTTTGGGTAGAGGCAAATTTCAGGCATAACAGCCAGTGAACCATTTTAACCTTAGTTTCCGCATGGACATATTTTTCATTATTGATGAGAGGATTAATTTTTGTTATTTGTTGTTGTTTTTGTAGAACATGGCCAGCATTCAATAAATATGTCATTGAAACAAAAAATGGATTGTTAATGTGAAATTGCTATTTCCCATTAGAGTCAGAATCCACGCCACCAGGCTGGGATATCATACTGAGGGGTTTGGGGCCCACATGACTGAAAGATATTTAATGTACAGGTGACTGCAGCAGCATCCTTGTTAGCCCTAGATTCTCAGACAATGACAAGTTGCAGACCCCCTGAGAGATTTTTGTGATGGAATACAACTTGTATTCATTCCAGTTACTTCTCTGGCTCTGGGTCTCACTCCTCTGTCTGCTTGCTAGAATGTAAGATGTTCCATGACTAAGTAGAATAAATTCATTTGCTTTTAATTTTTTCACAATGTACAGGATTTTTGTTCCAAATTTGTGCAGACTTGGTGACTGGTTATTAAACTCTTTACCAGCACAAGAGTCAGCAAACCAATCTGCAGGATGTAACGTTAGTGGAAAGAAGTAGGGAGAGAAGTGGTAGAGTCTTACTTTTCTTTGGTAGCCTTCACAAATAGGTAGTCCTGTTAGAGGTGGGCTGGGGTGGGAGAGGAACTTAAAATTGACTGATGAGAGCTATGGCTCCCTGAACACCTTCTTTTCCTCCTCTCACTATGGCCGGATTTGACTCCTTAGGTCACAGTGGGCAGTATCTTTGAAGTCGTCTGGGCAATCTTCAGACCAGGAACATCTTTTGGAATCAGTGTCTTGAGAGCTCTCCGGCTTCTAAGAATATTTAAGATAACCAAGTAAGTGATCAGAATTGGAACTCTTTCCAAGCACCCTGGAGAATGAAAACTTCTTTCCGCTTTATATTTCCTTGTGTCTCCTATTCCCCCTTACCACATTTCCACTTCCCTGCCCCACCCCCAATCCATTCTTCAGTTTCTCCTCCTCCTCCAAAGAGCCAACCAGAAGAATTTTTATGACACCAGATCCCAGGCCACATATTACTGCCATCTCGCCCTCCTACAAGTCTACAAATGCACCTTAGTTCCCAGACCACCATACCACTGTCCAGCTGGAATTGGGGATAACTTGGGATTCAGTGTTTACCACCATCTGGGTTTTGTAGGTATTGGGCATCACTACGGAATTTGGTGGTCTCCTTGATGAGTTCCATGAAGTCTATCATCAGTTTGCTCTTCCTCCTCTTCCTCTTCATCGTTGTGTTTGCTCTCCTAGGAATGCAGCTGTTTGGAGGCAGGTAAGCACCAACAGGCTTTCAGCCAAAGGAAATTTAAAACCCAGTTTTCGCCTGTGAGCACCAGGGTCATTCATTTGATCACCATGTTATCTTTCCGTGGCTTAAATTGGAAGCTAAGTGCCTATGTGGAATAAATACCTTTGCTTTTAATTTTTTCACAATTTACAGGATTTTTGTTCCAGGGACTCCCCCGCCCTCTTTGGAGCAATACTTGAAATTTATAGCATGGAACCTTGTAACTCAGGATTAGTCTAAACCCCGTTTCATTCCCCATACCCTTCAAAATCAATAGCAGTCACTAATATCATCTTTGAAAGTTCCATGGAATGGGAAAATTAGAAAGAGGAGGATGTAGAAAGGGGAAAAGAAGCAATGAAAAATGTATATTCTTAGGGAGGGGAAACTTGGTGTGTGAGGTTTCCATTCCAGTCTTCTCTCCGAATTCCCCTTTCAGGTTTAACTTTAATGATGGTACTCCTTCGGCAAACTTTGACACCTTCCCTGCAGCCATCATGACTGTATTCCAGGTAAGAGGCCAACTGGCAGTTTAAAAATATGTTGGATCCTTTGGACCACACACTGCAAAATAATGATAGTTAGGAGACCCTGCTTCTCCTCTCCAGGCTCCTCCCAGAGAACTGTGCTCTCTTGCTTGTTGAGTAACCACCTCTGCGTCAATTCCTCAGATTTCTGTAGCTCAGATCTTACAATAATAAAAGATCTCCACTTTTATGACCTCACTGCCCTTCTCTGAACTTATGAGTTTCCAAGAGTTGGAAGGCTAAGGCATTTAGTAACAAATTGCCTTCCTGGTTTTCTGAAATTGGGAATGTCTTCTAACCCATTTTTCTACTTAATGCAGTATCTTTTACATTCTTTGCCCCCCAACTTCCCTCCCCCCCAAAATACCACCTTTTTAAATCCTGGGGGAAATTCAAAATCGATAATGTCTTAGAGCTAAACAAAAGTACCATTTAGCCAGAACCTGAGGGTGAACCAGACCTCTGGTTTCATGCATTGGAGCCCCAAGGCTCTTTCCAGTAATCCTTCTGCCTCAGGAACTACATCTTAGCAACTCTGGGGACAGTCATTGAACCATCAGACCACCTGATCTATGTGATTCCAGTAGGCCTGGCAACGCTGGTGGTAAAGAAGGGTAGTTTGAGGAATAGGATCTTTCCTTTTGATAATTTCCTTATGTTTTCAATGCCTAAAATTCTTTTCCATATTAAAAGAAAGTTTAGGATTATTCATGGGGAGTGACTTTTTCCCCCCTCACTGGTGGAATGGCCAAGCAGGGGGCGAATGGAAAAGGCCAGACCCGTTTATATTGGCACTGTCTTCGCAGCCAGCCCCTGTCTCTGACTTGGTTGTTGTATGCTTTGTGTAGATCCTGACAGGTGAGGACTGGAATGAGGTGATGTATAACGGGATCCGTTCCCAGGGCGGGGTCAGCTCAGGCATGTGGTCAGCCATCTATTTCATTGTGCTCACCTTGTTTGGCAACTGTATCCTTTTAAGTGTGTTCTTATTTGTGTTGCCTGCCTGCCTGCCTGGATGAACATTTGAGGAGGCGGTGGTGGTAGTGGTGGGGGGTGCTGGGGAGCAGATGGACACTGCTCAGCAGACTGAGGGAATACAAGGACCCCAATTTTAAGGAACTTGTACACTGGGTAAAGAAGATAAATAAACACCATAACAGTATTATTCAGATAATGGACTATGAATCTGTTATATTGACTAGTTAGAGGTACTACGAACTGGAGAAAATGAGAGGCCAGAAATCACTTGTAGAATGAGATCATGGCCAGATTATCATTATGATGAATTAATTACATGTCAGTACAGAACAGAGTCACCCACTTAGTAAGACTTCAAAAATATTAGTATTATGGTTATTGCTAACACTATGAAGCATAGCTAATTATTGATTGTATTTGTGCTGTACCAGTGGTTTATAGGCTCTATTTCATTTGGCCCTTACCTGGTAAGACATAAGAGAAATAACTTGATCAAAGCCAAACAATTCTACATTGAAAAGGAAGACTGGAGCCCACAGCTGTCTGACAAGACACCCAATGCCTGATCACAGGATCTAGCACAAGAAGATGTAGGTTTTTGCGACAGCAGCTCTGCTTACCAGCTGTGTGGCCTTGGGAAACTCACTTAATCTCTCTAAACTTTTAATTTTCATTTCTGTAAAGGAGGACAGTGATATTCTATCTCCTTTTGTTGCTGTGAATAATAAATGAGGTGATTTGTTTGAATGCACCTTTTAAGCTGCGAACATGGACAAGAAATTAGGGGGAGTATAGTGCCTGCTTGGGTTGGAGCTGGTAGAGTGAAAACAAAGAGCCACCTGAGGTAACCATAGTTTTGCAGTTTTCATCATCCGACAGAGAAGTGATGCTCCTATAAGCTCCTTTCCTGAAACCATCCAGGGCCCTGAGCAGAACTATAAACCAGAAAAGGCCATAGGAGGAAAGCAGTATGGTGAGTCACAGAAGGGGAAGGCTCGTGACAGTGACCCCAGGTCGCCCCTTTGCCCTGAGCAGAGAGTGTCAGAGCTGGGCTGTTGTACTAGAACCAGTTCTCTGTTCCACATGGGAAGGCCTCAAAGACAGTTGGAAAACTGGGAGTTCAGAGGTGAGAGTGTGGAACAGAAAAGATTTCCATAACAGTGGTGTGTGTTCTGTGTCATTTTGTTCAATGAAACGTCGGAGTCTTCCAGGACCAGGAGAATGTGAGAAGCCAGTGAACATTTTTGAGAACTGGCTGGTGACAGGGCTGAGGAATCTCATTTCCTTTTTATCTACAAGGACAGAATAACCTAGTGTGTCTAGGTATACCTCACTTCCAGGCTCCCCAAAAGGAGCAATGGGCTCCTACCTCAAGCCCCCACACATCTTGTTCAGTAATGGCCTTGTTCAATATTGCTTTGAGGAGAGGCTGTAGCTGTCCAAAGGCTTCCTCATATCAGCTGGACCCTCTGGTGGTTTGATTTGTGTATTTATTTGTTCTATGCAAAGAGATGGTATTTGAAAGGAGAGAAAACATACTCTTTCTTTTTTCTTTAAGATTTATTTATTTATACAAGAACCGGGGTACAGGCCAAATGCAAGGGAGGGCAAGAGGATTCACCAGAGACAGAGCGGGGAACAGAACAGGCAGACTGATGAAATACACTGCTGAGGGGAGCAGTGGGCAAGACAAGAGAGGTCTGCTGCACCATGTGGGATTCTCCCCATCCGGCTGGGACAGATCCCACGCTGCAGAGGCTGCGGACAGCTTCACAGTGCGGTGCTCAACCACCTGCACCACCAAGGAGGCCCAAAACATACTCTTTCTAACAGACTCCCACATCGTTTTCGTCCCTCCTCCCATGGCCTCTGTTTAAGTGAATCTTTGGAGTAACTTTTATTCATGATGGTGTCCCAGGCAGGCAAGTCATGACAGTGCCCTCTCAGCCTTGATGATTTACTTTTCTTATTTGTTCACCCTTAACTCATCACCCCAGACACACTGCTGAATGTGTTCTTGGCTATCGCTGTGGACAATCTGGCCAATGCCCAGGAGCTGACCAAGGTAAGCCCTGTTCTCTGAGGACCTGATGGTTCTTTGTGCCTTTGGGGCTTCCTCCGAAATTCTGCATTGTCTAGCTCAGGCCTGCCAGGAAGGCCCCACTGGGAGCTTCTGGACAGTTGGAGAACCACACATCCATGAAGGCAGCCTGGTTACTTTTATTGAGTGGTGAGCTTTCAACCAGCCTGGGTCTCTCATGTGATATAGAAATCACAGCTCAATCACCACAAACCCTCAGAGGTACACTTCGTGGATTTATGACATGGAGGAAAAAGAAAACACTAAAACCCTGGATTTAAGTATTCCTGTGAACTATGGCTGTATGGCCTTGACCATGTAGCTTTACCCCCTGGCTCTGGGTATGAAAGGGGTCCAGTGCATCACAGTTCTGCTGTGGCCTTCCAGTGCCCATGGTCAACTTGGAGAAGTTTCAGTAAAGGCAGAAACTATATTTCTCAAAGAGCTACTTCTTTCCTCTGGTTGATTTTTTCCCTCGCGGCGAAGGCAATACTAATTGCAGTAAGATGGTGTAGAGAGATGAGGGAAGACTTTCCCCCACATAGTGCAAGTTTGGTTGGGAGAGGCTTATGTCCCTGTGATGTTTTTGACCTTCTTCTGTGTGTTCTGTGTTGTTCCTTGCTCTTTCCTAATCCCTGAGGTCTCCTTATCTGCATGGCATGGGGGGGAAAACATTGGTTTATTTTCCTAAAAACTGGACATGAGTCCCACCTCTACCATGACTCAGCTCCTCGGCTTAGGCTAGGTCTCTGATCTCCTTTAGCATCGGTTTCTTCATCTGTAAAGTGGGAATGATGTATCTGCCTTGTGTACTTCCCAGGATTACCGTGCAGATCAATCAAATACAACTTGTGACAGTGAGAGATTGCCAAGGAAATTATTCTTAGTAACTCTGGTTCTTTTACATGAACTGAATTTCCTGGGTGTCTTCACATAATGGAGATACTCAGAAGCAGGGATGTGGGTGACGGTATGGAGGTCCCTGATTGAGCTCTCTGGTGGGGCCACTGGTGCACCCTGGTATACACCATACACCAGAGAGCTCTGCCAAGAAGGACCCTGTCCCCCACTTCCAGACACCGCAGAACATGTGAGAAGTTAGCTCCTACAGCTGACCTCCTCAGCCAAGGCCAGAAGGCCAGCTGTGCTGGGACTGGAGGGTAGGGTAGAATTCCACCACTCTCTCCCAGGGGCCCTCCCTGATTGTCTGAAGTCTCTGAGTCGACCTTACCTCGCATTGCCTTGTCAAACTTCTTCCCTGTTTGCCTCACTGCACCTGGTCTTCCAAGCTCTTTGGGGAGAGCTAAGGGAAGCTCCTCTCCTTGGTGGGGATCACAGGCAAAACCATCTCTGCTTCGTGTCTAGGATGAGCAGGAGGAAGAGGAAGCCTTCAACCAGAAGCATGCACTGCAGAAGGCCAAGGAGGTCAGCCCGATGTCTGCACCCAACTTGCCTTCTTTCGAGTGAGTTGGCTGTTCCCCCTTGACTGCCCCTTGCACTCCTGTGCTAGCAGCCATTTCACCAACTAAAACTGTATCAGCAGAGGATGACTATTGGCCCATGCAAGTACAGGGCTGAGCAAAGCCATCTCTGTTCTCAAGGAGAACATAATTTTATGACAGTGACAACTGTTGCAAAATAATTAAAACATGGCAGTAAGGCAGAGGGGAACAGTGGGGTGAAGTAATTTACGGCAATCCAGGACGGAGTCTCTGGAGAGTGGATATTTAAACAGAGATCTAAATGTGTAGGAGGTGGAGGTGGTCATGTGACTTTAGGAAGGAAAGGCCTTCCTAACAGGACAAGGTCCAGTGAGGTGGGCATGTAGGGAGCAAAGGACTAGGAGGAGGCATGGCCAGGGAGGGAGGCAGGAACTAGCTCAGGGATGTCCTGAAGGCCTGTTTAGCTTTTATATTAATTGCAATCACGGGAGGGTTTGAAGTAGAGGGATTGATATGATATACTTTACCCTTTTAAAAGGTCACTCTGCATTCTGGAGGATGGATTGTAGGTACTAAGCATGGAGGCAGGGAGAAAAAGTTGACTCTTCTTGTAGGGTATGTGAGAGATGAGGCTGGTTTAGAACAGGTGGTGGCTGTAGGGGAAGAAAGTCATCCCTGTCCATTTCTATTTTGTCTGGAGAACCAGTGGGATGAGCTACTGGACTTAATGTAATGGGGTGGGGTTGTAAAATAGAAGAAACAAATGATTCTCCCAGGTTTTAAGGTTTGAGACCAAGCAACTGGGTAAATGGTGCTGTATGCTGAAACTTGGAGGATGATGGAAACCGAAGGTTTGTTTTGGTCACATTGAATCTTGGTACTTATAAGACATCCAGATGAAGATGCTGATAGGCCGTTGGTTACATGGGTCTGGAGCTTAGAGGAAAAGCCGGGCTTAGAAATAAAGCTTTGGGAGGAGCTATTTGCATATGAGTGGTATTTAGGCTGCCCACATGGGTGAGCTGACCCAGGGAGGGTCTGGTGGAGAAAAGCAGGTATTATGGTGTGGCTGAGGACCTGCCAGGGAGCAGCCAGGAGGTGGGAGGAAGAACCAGGAAGTGTGTCATCCTGGAGACCTAGTGGGGAAAACCCTCCAGGTGGAGGGTCAGAGTGGTGCTAGATGCTGCTGAAACATCAGTCAGATGAGGATAGAAATGCACCCATCAGCATTGGCAAAATGAAAGCTCTAGTGATCTTCAGGGAAGTGGTTTCAATGGCCTGGTGGGAAGATCATCCAGTTGGAGTGATTTGGGGAGAAAATGGGGGCAGGTGATAGAGTAGTAAGTAAAGAATCTTCAGGATCCAGCCTGGGTCTGGGGTTGCAGGTAGAACCAGGGCATGAGGGGCTCATCTCTTCATGATATAAAAGAGCATCCCTGAATTCCTGTTGTTGTTTCTGGGCTGCAGAACCAACTGTGTGAGTGACCTGGGGTATCTGTGGGGAGGGTCTCAAGCTCTGGGAGGTGGAACTCTATCCTGGCACTAGACCTTGTCATTAACCAAATAAACCTGGTGAGGGAGGAGTCCTTCTTTTTCCAGAGCTCCCATGTGGGTATCTGGGGTACCATCTGCCTCGCCTTGTAGGGATGTTCTGGAATCACAAAGGCTCTGCACAGCTTTTATCTTGAGCTTTCCTTTCAAAACTAAAGGCCTGGCATCTGGGACCCTGCTCTGTAAGGGAGGAAATCCCATTCCTTAAAGATTGATGGAAAAAGGCAAAACAACTCCTTTTCTAAAATATTCTCTGTGCTTTGAGTAGTTTCTATCCCACCTTTCTAAACTCACAAGTTTGTGTTAAAAATACACACAGGTATCCGAACGTGCCAACGGGGAGGGCTCGCTGCTGCTGGGAGCGAGCGGTTCTGTTACTGAGATGAAGCCTGGGGGAGGAGTGGGTTTGGAGATGTGAGTCTGGTGGATGCTTGGCCCAGAGTAGAACTTGCTATTTGTGGAATGAAAGAATGAATGGAATGTTGTAGGCAGGCATCAGGCTGCAGGATCCTCACAGCATGAGGCTGTGGCTGCGGTGCACATGCTGTAGGCGGGAGCTGTGTCAGGGTACATGCTGCTCAGGGGTGTAGGCCTGACCACTGATTTCAGGACTACAGTGTAACCAAGTGAGAACACAGCTGTCCATGGGAGAACACGGAAACGCCATTGTCCCCAATAGAGAGCCTGATGCTAGTCAGTCTGTCTCATGCTCTATGGCCTTTGCAGAGGACCATGGAGGATTTGGAATCTGTTTCCTAACTTTGAAATGGGAAGAATCCCGACTGCCCTTCCTGCTCCACAAGGTTACTGTGGGTGTGCGTGAGGGCACATGTGCCTGAGTTGGAGATAGGAGGCAGTTAGTTTCTCTGTGATTTAGGTTTGCACATTTGTTTGTTATTCTGATGAGGTTTGAGTTTGGATCTTGGCATGTGTGAGTGAGGTAAAGGAAAGTTTGAGGTGTGTATTTGATTTATGTGAGAATTAAGAGATTGGTTCTCTCATTTGCTGGATGTGTGTGTGTGTGTGTGAGAGAGAGAGAGAGAGAGAGAGAAAGAGAGAGAGAGAGAGAGGGTGTGAGAGAGAGAGAGAGAGAAAGAGAGAAAGAGATTGATTCTTCCATTCACTTAGACTCTTACACACATGCTCCTGGGGGACTTTTTGAATATTTGAGAATTTGCAAATAGATGGTATAAAGTGTTTTTTTCTAGTGGGTGTGCATGCTGTCTGGAATGCATGCTTCTATTTCTCTGTGCTACCCTTGCCTCATGGCACTGCCACCCCGCACATACCACTTGGCATTGTAGCTGCAAACACTGAGAGGTGCATTCAGTTGGGGAGCTCACAGATAACCCCATGATGGTATCTGCATCCATCCCATGGGTGCCAGGTACAGAGCGCCTCTTCCAGACACTGAATGTGACTCAGACCAGCTGCTCTGCTCCCTTGGCTCCACCCTGGTCTCAGGCTCCTTTGTGGATGTAGTTCCAGGCGGTGGTAGAGCAGAGCCTGTCTGCCAGGAGTGTTCTCAGCTGGTGGGTGTCAGGGGAGGAAACAGCATCTGCCACCCTTCCAGGTCCAGGAAGGCCCAAGGGATGAGGCTGTCAGTCTGGTGGAGCAGGCTGACCCTACGCTCACAGCTTCTTTACTCCAGGCATCATGTCCACCCCTGTGAGGAACGCCCACCCCTGCCACTCTGACCTTGCACTGGCTTTTTGTCCAAAATGACACAGCCTGTGTGTGTAGAGAAGAGAATTTTCCCTGGGCAAGACCAAGAAGGTGAATACTGTGTTTTTACCCACCTGAGCCGCCAAACCACCATGGCCTCTAGCCAGGGCTGCTGTGCTCCATAAGCACAGGGTGCCATTCACGTTCTGCAGGATGTGGTGGCCCTGCTTTTGGCCCTGCCACTGTCTTGTGGCCTTGGTGGTATGTATACCAACCACGTGTTCCCTGCCTGACTTGTGAGATCGGAGTCATACACCATTGTGAATATGCTGGAAATACTTGGGGAAATACATCTTCATTCAGGGTTGCAGGGTTTCCACGTAGGCGTCTGACGGGTTTCTAGGTGAAAGTGCGAGAGCATGCAGTGTGAGTGTGTGACTGTGAGAGATGGTCTGTCCTTTGAGTCTCTGCCTGAGACTTGGAAAACTAGACCCCCATGTTTGCACAAATCAAAGAATCAAAATCCACTCCCTTGGAGAATTGAAGGTTAGGAGTCAACAGAAGGCACATGGGCACCTGGGGGGCCCTGTGCCTCTCCCCGAAGTCACAGGTGGCTGTGGGGCTTGCGGTTCAGAAAGGTCAGGATGCACTGAACCTGTTCGTTTTTCTTTCCCAGAAGAGACAGAAGGAGAAGACACCACATGTCGATGTGGGAGCCGCGCAGCAGCCACCTGTATGTGTGCGCGGTCATGTGTGGGTGTGGGGACACAGTGTCTTTGTCCTTGTTGTGGACGGTGTGGCACTAGGCGTGCTGTCAGCATGTGTGGGGCCAGTGCGTGTGTGTGTGTGTTCTGTGCACAAGGTTTGTGGACGTGCCCCTTGTGCCTTTCAGCACGTGCTTCTCTCAGTGTGTGTCTAAGGTCCGTGACCCCGTGTGCCGTCCCTCTGCTGTGTGGCCTGCGAGTGGGCGTCCTTGCCAGCGAGCACGCCTTTTGTGCAGGCAGTAGTGTGCAGCTATGTATGGGCCTCTGTAAGGTTGTGTGCGGGCATGTGAGTATCCCCTGAACAGCTGCAGGTGTGTGCCCGCAGGCACATGTGTGTGAAGGAGCAGGTGACCACCCTTCCCGTGCAAGTCTGCTCTGGGTGTGCTCTTGTGTGTGTCACGTTTGTGTGTTCTGCTGCCACGCGAAGGCTCTTTTTGGCCCCCTAAACAGTTTTGAGCATGAGCTGCTGGTGTGCTCTGCACACACCATCCTGTGGTTATTATTAGCTGTTGTGACAGATACCCAGTACTCATGTTTTGAGGGTGAGGCCAAACCTTTTCATAACATGGTTCGCCATCGTCATCACCCTTCGGTAGTATCCAACCATTGTACTCCCCAGCCCTTGCTATCCTAGGCTGCAGTCTGCAAGGGGAAGGAGAGAGTGCGCAAGGGAAGAAAGTTCTCTGACCTGGATAGGCCACTGCTGGACACAGAGGGTTGAGATAGAGCAGGGGGAGCAAGGATGACAACTGGAAGGTCTTCTACTCTCTGCAGGCCCCAGGGCTGGTCCCTCCCCAGCCCAGCCTTCTGCTGCTGCAGAGCAGGGATGAGCATGAGACCTCATGGACTGGGGGCCCTAGTCCAACCACTCATCCCCACATGCCCACTTGCTCGCCTGCGTCTTCTGTGCTTCCTGTCTGCAGGTCCTGGGCTGGGCTCACCCATTCACTCCCCTTCACATCCTGCCCTTTGCCCATGGCCACGAGGGCTGGCCTGCACTCATGTGGCAGCCCTCCCTGGCCTCCAGACACATAATTTTGACTGTGGCCCTTTCCCCTTCACCAGGAGGGAGCGCAGGCGCCGGCACCACATGTCTGTGTGGGAGCAGCGTACCAGCCAGCTGAGAAGGCATATGCAGATGTCCAGCCAGGAGGCCCTCAACAAGGAGGAGGCCCCACCCATGAACCCCCTCAACCCTCTCAACCCACTGAGCCCCCTCAACCCCCTCAACGCCCACCCCAGCCTTTACCGGAGACCCCGGCCCATTGAAGGCCTCTCCCTGGGCCTGGAGAAGTGTGAGGAAGAACGCGTCAGCCGTGGAGGGTCCCTCAAAGGGGACAGAGGGGACCTGTCCAGTGCCCTGGACAACCAGCGAAGCCCCCTGTCCCTGGGCAAACGGGAGCCTCCATGGCTGGCCAGGCCCTGTCACGGGAACTGTGACCCAGCCCAGCAGGAGGCTGGAGGAGGGGAGACTGTGGTGACCTTTGAGGACAGGGCCAGGCACAGGCAGAGCCAGCGGCGCAGCCGGCACCGCCGTGTTCGCCTGGAAGGCAAGGAGCCTGCCTCGTCCTCCTCCCGGAGCCGGTCAGCCAGCCAAGAGCGGAGTCTGGATGAAGGTGTGTCCACCGAGGGGGAGAAAGAGCTTGAATCCAGGAGCAGCCATGGGAGCAAGGAACCCACAATCCAGGAAGAAGAAAGAACCCAAGACTTAAGAAGGTAAATCACCCTGGAGGCATCTCGCAGGCCTGGTGGTAGGGATCTGGAATATATGCCTTTGCAAGCCTCAGTTGCCACCTTTGTGAGATGGAAGTGACTCTAAATAATATTAACAAGGGGAATTGGCCCCTGAAAACCAAGGTCTGCTTGGGTGTGTCTTCTATTAGGAGCAGACCACGGACAGATGGATGGGAAAAAGGAGTGGACGCTGCCCTAGGACCTTGGCTCCTTTCTACCTGCTTAGGAGAGGGGGGACAGCAGAGCTCCTCAGGCTGCCTTCTCCTTTCCCTCTTACCAGATGCTTCTTAAGATCTAAACACTAGCTGTTTCTTCCCTTTTCACAGGACCAACAGTCTGATGGTGTCCAGAGGCTCCGGGCTGGCCGGAGCCCTTGATGAGGCCGACACACCCTTAGTCCTGCCCCAGCCAGAGCTGGAAGTTGGGAAGGAGGCAGCACTGACGGAGCCAGAGCCAGAGGGCAGCAGTGAGCAAGCCCTGTTGGGAGATGTCCAGCTGGACATGGGCCGAGTCATCAGCCAGAGTGAGCCTGACCTCTCCTGCGTCACAGCCAACACGGACAAGGCCACCACGGAGAGCACCAGTGTCGCTGTTGCCATCCCCGACGTGGGCCCCTTGGTGGATTCTACTGTGGTGCACAGTGAGAACACAATCCCTATTTCCCTCCCCTGAACTTCACAGGCCACCCATGACTGGGGGGAGTCAGGGACTCTGCACCCTTCCCAGTAAAGCTGCAAACCGCCCAGCAGCACAAGCTCATAACACAAGTAAAAGTAGTGGCAGTTTATGCCAGCATGCAGGAAAAATAAGTCAGAATATCACTGTTCTCAATATTAGACTTTGCCCAGAATATTTCCTTATGCTGTCGATCTCTAACTACCCTTAAGTTTTCAACAAGATGACTGTGATTTCGACCCAGTTTGCTGTTCGGCTGTTTGACTTATGACTATGTTTGACATACAACACATGACTATGTTAATGGGCTACTCTGGGACCTCCCAGGTGCTGTGCCACGTCACGAACCCCAGAGGAAGGGGATATCAGGGGACTTGCCAGCTCTGCCTCTGTTCAGTGTGTGCCTCCAAGAACTCTCCTTCTCTGGAGGCCTCAGTGGGTCCTCTGTAACATGAGAGCTTTGAACTGGATGATCTCTGGGTCTTTCCCTGTGCTAACATTTTATGAATCCATTACTCTGTTCTTTTCCTTCTTTGAGCTTTTCATCACACTTTCTCTCATATTTCTCTCAGGCAATGGTGAAAGTCTACCAGACCTTAAAGGAAAACTCAACAAGAAAGCATTTAACCCACCCTGACCCCACACCCATCCCCACTCCACCCCACAACTCATCTTACACTAATCTACCCCACAGGCCCTACTCCAAACCTAAACTGTATACCCCACCCCGTACTAACCCACACCCTACAACCATCACTCCAACCTAAACCCAATCCCTGCCTGACCCCACGCCCCATCCCAGCATTAATCCTGCTGCCCCAAGGCCACTGTATCCTGACCACAGTATCACGCCCTTGCTTTCCCCCTCCTTGACTGTTTTCCATATCTCTCTCTCACCGGGCAATCTTTTCTCCCTGTGTGCCTGTCTACTGCTCCATCTCCTCCCCATCCCATCTCTACATGAAAATGCCAACACTACATTAAACAGTAAAATTTCTCATGTCCAGTGCACTGGTTGTGACTTGGGTATGTCTCGGGATCTCAGGCTCACAAGCTTTATGGGTGGTGTCTGCTTAATTTTATATGCCTATAAGTAAGAAATGTTTTGGATGCTCTTTTATGAAAAGCAATAAGAAAGCTTGGTCCCCCTGTCCTCACTGGGGCTGGTCTATGGCCCTGGTCACAGGTTATCAGAGCAGGTTATCAGAGGGCATTTGGTTACTGACATGACTTACCTTTTGGAAGGATCTGGAATGGGCAGAAACTCAGAGGTCTGCTCACACAGAGTCTAGGGAAGTTGTGTGTTGACAGAGCAGTGGGAAGAGTTGACTGGGCCCCTTACTCCACTCTGCTGGCCTCAGCTTCTTCCACATGCTGACTTGGGTATGGAGACAGAGAATCCCCTCTGAGAGCCCCACTCAGCCTCCGACGCCTTCACCTCCCAGTCCCAGATCTGCATTCCGTGGACCACTGCATACTCATTAATCCTGGCTGGATAAAGCGCAGCTGGAAAGGCAGCCACGAACAGAGTAATGGTTTCTTTACATCTTCTGCTATGTGATTTTATTGAAAGCATTTAGGATCTTGAATTGGGAGCCCATGGTAGCTATGTGACCTTAGGAGGTGTTCCTGTTTCCCCTGAACACCAGTTATATGCAATATAACTTATAACTTACATATATATATATATATTTGTGTATGTATATATATATGTATATATACACACACACACATATATATATATATATAACTTACATGCACACACACACATACACACACACATACACACACAGAATAATGCTGGTCTACCTCTCAGGGTGCGCTGATGTGGAAGTTCAGGAAGTAAAGATATACAAAAAATCCAGATTTTAGATATAAAATCTAAACTTGGTAAACTTTACAACAGGAACAACCATTCTGTTTACCGCTCTGTTACCTGGGGAAACATGGTTACTGTCATTTATATGGTTAAAAAAAAAAGCCCAAAACTATCCCACATAAATTCAAGGTGAGGAGAGCAAGGGCTTAACTCAGTATCATCTAACAAAACTCTGATGTTCTCAGGCCTCTGCAGGCACACTCCCATCACCTGTCCTGTCCCCAGGGGGGGAAGAAGGGCACATGTTGCAAGGTTTGTGATGGTGTCAAAATGTCCCTCTTTCAGTTAGCAACAAGACTGATGGTGAGGCCAGCCCTTTGAAGGAGGCAGACATCAAAGAGGATGAGGAGGAGGTGGAGAAGAAGAAGCAAAAGAAGGAGAAGCGGGAAACAGGCAAAGCCATGGTGCCCCACAGCTCCATGTTCATCTTCAGCACCACCAACCCGTAAGACATCCCCTCCCCCGCCTTTGGTGCTGGGCACACAACCAGGGTCTGAGCACAGGACAGAGTGATGTGAGGGTCTGGTCAGCTTCCTGGTTCTTCTTTGGGTGGGGGAAGGCCAGGCATGTGAAGCACCAGGTGCTAGCAGGTGAGATGGGTCATGAACTTAAAATTCCTTTGACTCCTGTGCCCATGGTCTAGGGAGCCATTCAGCACAGGAAAGCACCAGTACAGGATCTTTCACCTAGTAATGGGTGATATGGGTGACGGTGGCGGGGTGGTCAAGAAAGAAGACCACTTGAGGACATGTCCCCGAATATTCTAGAGGTGGACAGAGTCGAGAGCATGGAACCCAGAATGGGCAGAGCATTCCCTGGAGGTTAAGAGTATTGGTCCCACTGTGCAAGATAATGATGCTGAAATGGGACCCTCGAGCAGAGGTCAGGATATGAGATGGGAGTGGCTGAGAAGTGTCTGGAAGGTTAGATTCAGGAAAGATGATATTTTGAAAGAGAAGCTGCCTCTGCTCTGGAAGTGAGTATGATGCACACGTAGGCCAGCTTCTGAGTCTCCAGAGATGAGCCTTTCCTTAGCTGCATGGCCAGTGTTTGGGCAGAGTCCAGAAAGGAGGCACCTGGGTGAAGGTGTGTCAGGCCACCTGAGGCCAGAATGCTGTCTATGGATATCATCACTTTACTAGATCGCCCAGGGCTCGTGCAAACCTGTTGCTGCTTTCATCAGTGATGTTAGAATCCAGGTCTATTTCTTGGTTCTTATCATTGCTATATCCCAGTTTCCATACAGTGGGGGAGTGGACCTTGAGTACAGCAGTGGGGTGGGATGGGGGAGAGACCAGGGACCAGGTAGCCCCCCTGAGCGTGTGGCCTGGTGCTGACTGCTGCCCCTGGTCTGATGTGCTTGCAGATAATGGATCTTGGCTTACGTACTGCAGCTCTAACCAATCTGATTACCTCCCCCACTGGGGCTTTAAATCAAGGGTTGTGCCTGAGAAATTAAATTGCTCTCCCCAGGCTCCTTCTCGTGAGGGCCTGGCTGTCTGGAGGAGTCTGGTGTACGTGGAGGTGGAGGTGGGGAGGGCAGGAGCAGCCAACTCAGCAGACTCAGCCAGATCAGCAGAACATCTCTTTCTCCCCTGTTCTGTGCACACCCCCGCCCCCCAACCCACCGCCCGCAGGATCCGCAGGGCCTGCCACTACATCGTGAACCTTCGCTACTTTGAGATGTGTATTCTCCTGGTCATCGCGGCCAGCAGCATTGCCCTGGCAGCTGAGGACCCAGTCCTGACCAACTCGGAGCGCAACAAAGTGGGTGTCCATTCCAGCATTAGAGGTGAACCGAGGAAGGTTCTGGGGAATGAGAACGGATAGCGAAGTCACCCATTCTGGCTGTCAGGGTGAAGGGTGAACCTTTTTAAGACTACCCCCTTTGCCCAAACCCTCTCCCTGACACTGCACAGCTTCATGGCTCAGCTGCAGGCCTTATACAGAGTCACCCAGGGCCACAGCTGCCTGAGGGGCCTAACATCAGCTGATGGGTGACATGTATGTCCTTGGAGAATTGAGACACCTGGAGGGCCCGAGGCTGTACACAGACGTAGGAGGGAGGAGGGTAGAAACTGACCAGGATTCCCGGTCCTGAGCCAGAACTGTTCAGGGGGAGAAGTGTGGGGTACAAGGAGAGAAAGGCCAGAAACTGACCACCTGGTCCTTGACTCCAGCAGGACCTAAGGCTACTTTGCATCCTGCGTCCAACCAGCCGTGACAATTCAGCCTGAGGCAGAAATGCATAGGGTTGGGTGTGCCTGCAGCCTGCATGTATTTGTGGCAGGTGGAAGTGTGTGTAGGCTGAGGGACCCCCGTGACCCCTATCCCCCCACTACATGTGTCTTACAGGTCCTGAGGTATTTTGACTATGTCTTCACTGGCGTGTTCACCTTTGAGATGGTTATAAAGGTAAAATCCCCCAGAGAGAACCTGGGCTCCGGTACAGCTGGGTCACCCATTCCTCTCCTGTAGAACCCTTCCCCCATGCTGTCACCAGCCGGCTAATGCCAACCTCAGTGTCCACTTCCTCAGGTCTGGGGATCCTCTGAAATCTCTGAAGAGTGGCATCGGGCTGTGGAGATGGCCCAGGGAGGAGCTGGGCTGGCAAAGAGAGTGCAGTCAGGCTTGGGGGCTTGCCTCCCTCATGTGCCCCCTGGCTTGAGCCCCCTGGTGCATGTCAAGGGTTAGATAGGGATGAGTCTCCCTGGACACCATCTGGTCCCATCTACCCCCCAGTCTGTTCCCCACCACCCTAATTCACTCCCATATGGGGTTTTGCCCTTCTGTGCAACAGAGGTTGTGCCTGGAGCTCTGAGTCACTGCTGAAAGGTGTCAGTGTTCTGTGACCTCCAGGTAACCTAGTTGCACCCCAGTGCTCTGAGAAGAGGCCCCGGGCTCACAGATTTGTGCAGCGAGCCCATGGGACCTGCGTCCTCTTGCACTACACATCCCGGGAAGGGCTGGTTCTGGAGATGACGCTGGCTATGGAGGTGTCACCTTAAGCACCCTGGAGCTCAGGGTGTGCCCTGCCACTACCTCCTGGCTCATCTGTGGCTATTCACATCCCTGTCCCACAGATGATAGACCAGGGCTTGATCCTGCAGGATGGGTCCTACTTCCGAGACCTGTGGAACATCCTGGACTTTGTGGTGGTGGTTGGTGCCTTGGTGGCCTTCGCTTTGGCGTAAGTAACTCTCTCTTTATATTCAATTTTCTTCCCTCCCTACTTCCTGAGATCCTGGCGGATGTGAGGCCTCCTCCAGGGCCAGCCTGAAAAGTAATTCACTCAGAGTCGAACTAAAAATGTTGGCCTGGAAACCTACCCCTAAGAACCTTGCAGCATCAGCTCACATTAGTTCACAGAGGGAAGGAGGAGCAGGGATAGTAGCTAGGGAGAATTCAGAGGCCCTGGAGCTCCTCTCTTGTACATGAGTGCGTGCGGGTAGGTGCTTGCCAGAGTGGGCAGTGCCACCGTGGTCTCCAGGAGGGATCTAGGGGTGTGCGCTTCCATTTCTCAATTCTGTCAAACAGTGATCAGCTTGAAAGGAAGATGGAGAGTTGAGGCTCACAGAATTTGAGCATGGACGTTCTTTGCCCGGGAGCAGGACTCTCCCTCAGTGTGAGTCCTTCCAGGGACATAAGCACGTTACTGATAATGTTTCATTCTAGAAGGAAAGACGTTACCAAACTTCCTGGATAACAGACTTCGAAAAAATAGCCTTCACCTATTCAGGTAACAGTAAACCAGGTTCATTATACTTAGGGGATTTTTTCAAATATTGATCCAGCTGTAGCAGGTTTTCACCCACGTTCTGATTTTCCATACTGAATCCAGCCAAGGAAGGGGCTCTCTTAGTCCTCCGGGGATAGCCAGGAGGCAGGCGTGTCATCAGTCTTTTCCCTAAGCTGGTACTAGGTAGGTGTCAGGGTGCCATCAGGAGGAGGGACATTTTGAGGCAGTCTCTGCGTGCCTGCCTCGTTCCACAAGTCCCACGGTCCCCCTCAGATGTAGAGCAGTGGTGACAGGCTGGAGGGCTGTCATTTGTCTTGTTCTTACTCTGTACCCTATGAAACATGGCAGTGGTGGTTTTGGTGCTGATGGCAGGTGAAGCCTTAGCAGCCACAAAGCTGAAGTCTCTCTGTTGGTCCTCAGATCAGGTATTCTGCGGGGTACCCCAAGAATCCTCTGATTCTGAGGTCCACACTGAGTGTGCATTATAAAGCATTTATAAGAACACTCAGGTCTCCTTAAGCCTAATACCTGTGTAGGGAAGTGGGCAGAGGTTAGGTCTGGCCTTCCCTATTCCTTGTCCTCACCATATAGCCCCTGCTTTTGAGGCTATATGGAGACACCAAGTGTTTGCCAACTATGAATGCCTCAAGCTGTGCCTTTCCCTCTCTGAGGTTTCAAGAAAAAATCTAGTGAGTCACTGGATCTCTGAAATCTTTTAATTATCTTTTCCTTTGTGGAAAAGAGGGATTCTTCTGATAATTATTTCCATGGGAGGACCAGAGCTGCTTTTCCTAATTTCTTCACACTCTGGTACCACTTATTCCTGCTTCCTGGTTTCCTGCACGAAAAAGCAGAGATGGCTTCAACTTTGGCATTCCTGGGTCTCTGCACTCCAAGCATATTCCCTCATTTGTGGGAGCAGGGTATGTGGGGTGGGGGAGACCTGGAGCCAGCTGTCTCATAGGGGAGTCACGTGACTGCCAGTTTATGAGATTCAGCACCTTCTAGAGGATGCTGTATGGTGACTGTGACTCTCAGGATTCACATCTGCATTGTTTAGTGAAGGGATGAAGGTGGCCAGTGGGCAGGGACTGCAGCTCAGGAGGAAATGCATGAGAGGACAGGCGTGAGTGTCTGTGTGCACACACATGCACCCCTGCTCTCCAGGCCCCTCACCTCTGCATTCCTACTGCTCCACATGTAACTGGATGGGCTCAAATCAAGTCACCAGGTGAGCTGTTCTGGGCTGGATTCTAAATAGTAAATTCACCACTTCTAATGGCTTGTCAACACAAACAGTTTTCAAAGAAAAATAATTGGCTCTTCTGTTCTCACCTCCTCCCCCACTGGGGCCTGTGCCTCATCCAGCATTGTGTGAGCTCTCTGCAGCTGATGCTGAAGCTCCCCACGGCTGTCTGCTGTAGTAGCAGGGCATGAGGTAAGGTCAGGACTCCCTGGCACATGGGGGATCTGGATCACAGCCGTGCTTGGCCTTTCAATATTCAGCCCTTAGCCAGAAAGAGAAACATGAGTCAATCTGCCTCTTGATGCCAGAAGGAACCGGAATTCTCACATTAGCTTTTATTACATTCTTTTTATTGAAGCGTGTCACTTTCCTGACACTTGACACTGCCCGTGTCTTGGAGATGGACGCCGTGCTTTGAATGCATCCAGAAACAGACAGCTGCAGGGGTGGAGCTGGTTCGGAATCCATTCAGTGAAATGCATAGGCACAGATGACATTAGATTTAGGCGGGCCCTCAGGAGCCATAGAATGTGGTAGTATGGCTCTGGTTTAGAGCTTGGGGCTTGGATGTGAAGGTATAAGTGTGCACAGGTGAGAACGGAACAACGACTCAGAGCCCCCTGCTAGCACGTGCTCACACTTGCAGAGCCTTGCAATAGCAGAACATACATGTCTCCTTCATTATGGTACTGATGCCTCTCCTGTATATGTACTGCCTGCTGGTATCTGAGGTAGTCCCTTCAAACCTCAAGCTTTGCTTTGAGGCTTCTATTTTGACAGACCCTGTTCTTCTAGAACTGAAAGGGACTCTCCCAAAGCAGACTGACTGCACATTAATCTTATGAGGGGAGAAACAGTGGACAAGGTCATGCCTCACGCAAAGAAGACCCATTTACTGTGAGCTGGACAAGTCATCCTGTTCCACAGCTCTGTGTCAGAGAAAGGAAGATTAAAATTAAATGTAGCCATCAGGTACCCCATTAACTGTGGATTTAGGATGCTGGCTGAACTGGGTTGGAAATTTCCAGCAATGAGCAGATAGAAGGATGTGATTCCTCATGACTCCAGCTTTAAAGTCACCTTGATTCTGTGTCCAGCCAGAGACCCTAAAGATCATTATTGGCCATGGACTCTTGGGGTACCCACTGTAGTACTATCCTCTAACTGCCTTGAAAATGGGGTTTGGGAAGGAAATGGAGGGATAATGTGGGAGCCACATGGAGGGAGTATATGAAAGAGATGTTTCCAGTCTGCCTGCTCTTGGCATTAAGCGCCAGCATCTATGTCTTTCCATGAACACTGGAAAATACATTGCTTTTGGGGAGCCCTTTGTAGAGTGTGCACTTGGTGACCTTAGCCATATGGCACAATGGATGTGAGTCCCCCAGGGTTCTCTTTATCCACAAGTGGCACATTTGGAAGGTGGTCAGATGTGAAAGGGATCTCCACAGAACCAAGCAACATGAAGTGATCCAGTTAGGGAACATGGCTCCATACACATGCCAACCCAAAAGTCTGTTCACCAGGCCCACATGCAAAAATCGCCCGATTTAGGAGAGGAACCTTCACAGCTGCAGGAAGAGCCCAGTTCTGCAGGGTGAGTAGAAAACCCATCACCATGGCCTCCAGATTTAAAAGAAGGTTTTGGAGTCACTCGGGGCAGAAGAGTCCATGATGGGTCTCAGGAAGTATCAGTTTAGATCATGTGATGTGCCTGCCATCTGCTTCATCCACACTCATGGTGGCGGAGCCTGGCATTACAGACTAGTCTCCAGCTGGGGGAGTCTGTTGGCTGGACTTCAGCCGGCACCGAAGCTGTCTTAGAATGTTCCAGCAGATGAGGAGTTTGGGGATATGTGTGCAAGAAGACAACTAAGAAACAAGACAAATCAGGTCACTTGTTCACCAGATTGAGTAACAAAACTGCTTGGAGATGGATCGATGCTTTGCTGTCTCCTGCTTCCCAGTGCCTGGATAAAAATACCTTCATTATGGTGCTATGTGTTGTCAAGGAGAAAATTTGCTAAGGTTATGATGATTGTGTAATGGGAGCTTGTGAAGGTCCATGTGCCTCAAGAAAAGGATTAATTATTTACCACATAGCATCGTGCTAGGGCTATAATTGTTCAGAGCAAAGAAAGGTGGTGGGTCGTAAGTGACCCAAAGAGATGCTGAGGTATGCGTCAGGAAGAAATAGTCCCTGGTGGCAGCAGCTGAGCAGTGCAAAGTCAAAGTGAGGAATTCGGTTCTTCACACAAACAAATGAACTAGCCTTACCAAGTTCCAGAGAATTCTCTCTCTCAAGACAAGCTATACAAATCACCCTTTTCAACGTAAAGGGAAAATTTCCTCCCCTTTTTACATGGGTCTTGAGAATACTGAGAATTTTGAGAATATTAATTTTGCTTTCTTTTATTTCTATTTCATTCATCACACAGTCCTGTTTTGCACTTGAGAAATGGATTGATTGAGGTTTGACTCATTTGACTAGCCAGTCACCAAGTCCACTGTTAAGCAACAGAAATTTTTTTATTTCAAGTTCAGTGCTTTCTTCATTACATTAAGTTGCATTCTACCTACAGTGTTCTACTTAGTTCCATTATTCCCTGTAACTCAAAAGTGGTGGCTTGGTCTAGCTCTCCCCTCAGCCTGCAAAGCCTTCTCTCTCCAACTGGAGGCAGACCAGGCCTATGGAGAGGTGGAAGAGAAGGGCATCCATGACCTTATCAGTCCTGATGCGCCATTTTCTTCCCATGAACCCTCATAGACCCTAGACTGGCTAAGGGCTCTAGGGTAGATAGCTCAGTGTCTGAGTTCAGAAATACTGGATTATTTTGCTGTTTCCTTCTTTGCTTAAAACTTGCCCGTGGTTCCGATCTGAAAAGGTGGAGTCACATCAGAAGTAAGAGCATGGATTTCAGAGTCAGCAAACGCAGGTCTGAATTCCAGCCCTATTGGTCATTAACTCTCTTAACTCACTGGCCCTACACTTGTTCACCTGTAAGTAAAAATTAAAAATAGTTCTATTTTGGTATTGTGGGAATCGAATATGGTAAAATACATTTAGTGTCCAGGATAGTGCCAAATACTTAGTAAGTACAAATTAAATGACAGTTGTTATCGCCTACCAAGTAGTAGTCCAGGCACTTTAGCAAGGGGCATGAGGCGCCTCACAGCATGACCCCTGCCCCCATTACACTGCAAC